ATTCCTGTGTTGTGTTCAGGTGCTCTCCGTTCGTCAGAGTTCTATAGTTTTCAGTCCAGTCAAGGTGAACATGAACACTCCTCTTTCTTCCTGACAGACCTTCAGACCTCCTTATCTCTTTGGTCGTGTGTCTTTGTGTCTTTCCTTCTTTGCCATCCAATCATATTCTTTCGATCCCTTCCTCAGGCTGACAGGCCGTCAGAATGGAGCATTCTGTCCAGTCGGGTCTCCGTTTTGATCACATGCCCGTGGACGACAGTCCCAGGCCAGTTGTTTTGCTCATGCAGGGTAAACCTTGAACTCCGGCCTTCGGGAAGTCGTGTGCCACCAGGCGGCCATTCTCACCTCCGAGCCCTGACGCTCCTCCTCCAAAACCTCCCGCTACCATGCCCCCACCTGCTCCTCCACTCGCTATGGCGGCATCAATGAGTTCCTGAATAGGAGAAAAATACATAAGTCCGAAATATTTTGGGACATGAAATCAATCCTGTGAGGTATTCAGAAGATTAACTCATTTCATTAAGGTTTATTTTAGTCTTTGTTTATAATCCTCTCATCTCCCTTCACTCTAAATTTAGCTTCTTAGCTTCTTTGCACTCATTCATTGTCTCCGCAAGTCAGTCATCGTTCTTATCTTTCTCAAACTGTCACAATTTTCAGATGTAAAGTTATAATATCAAGTGTAACTGCTTTCAGGGTTTAATGCTGTTGAGAGTCCCATCTTTAGCTCATTGGTCCACTTTCCACCCTGGTGGTACACAAGTGTGTGGAAATGTCTGTTCGTAGATTCTCTGTATTTTCACCATGACTGTTCTGAAAACTATCACAACATTTATTTGAAACTAAAGAACAGGCGAAGTTAAAAAAGTGTTTTTGAATGATGTCTTAGAACCAGGATTTATCTGAGATTATTAACGCTTACCCTAACCCTATCCACCTCTGGCTCACTTGAAGATTTCAAACCACCATCGCTGTGAGGATATCAGTGTTGAATATGTTTGTGTGTATCCAGTGATCACGACCGGTGATTAAAAGTAAAAGTCCTTTTTGAGTTTGCAGAGTGAATCTCTCTCTCTCTCCCTCTCTCAGTTAATGTAATGATGTGAATCCAGAGTTAATATCCTGTATCAGGCCTCAGAGTCTCCCAAACTCCCTCGCTCTTTCATGGCTGCAATGAAGAGTCGTCTGACAGATCAGTACAAATAAATCCAAGTTTATTAATTTACTGAAGCAGATTGGAGCCAGCTCACCCACATGTGAGCAGCAAAGTCAAACACTCATATCCCCCTTGCAGAAGGCTAAAAGCTTACAATCCACATCAGTCAACCTGTGAATGTCTTCAACACTGGGAGAAACTGTACCCCACTCTCTCTCTCTGTCTTCTTTAGTCTCTAACCCACCTCTCTCTCTTTAAAGGAAGAATATGTGATTTTTCACACTTCAATGTAGCAGAATCAAATACATCCTCTGAAAATAACTGTGAGTCATGACTGTCTGCAATGAGTGTAACACCCGAATCCTGCTGTCTGTGATGATGTCACAGACAGCAAATAAGGTGAAAGTGAGTCGGAGCTACTGCAACAGGCTGCTGACTCTCAGCGCCCGTCAGAGATGTAAATCATCAGTTTCTTTATTGGGTCCAATGACCGCTACAGCCTTTCAGCTCAGATTTATGGCGTTTATTTACTTCATGTGTTGTTACCACATCCACACTTGTGTTATTAGGGTTAAGGTAGTTTAAAAGTCAAACCTTCATAAACTGACAGGAGGTTAGATCAGAGCCAGTTTTAACCAGTTGGCAGTAAAATACAGAAACATGTCTTCAGAGAACTCACTGCAGTATTTATATCAGACTATCAATAATGAATCAGAGAATAATACACTGTATATATAAATGTATTGACTGTTTCCCCTGTGTGCAGCACAACTCCAGTGTGAAAACATGCAGCAGGTAACCGCAGTGTAACCTCGCTCTGCTCCGCTCTGACTGATGAAACCCTCCTCACATGTTGTGTCAGCAGCACCTTCAGCAAGCTCTTCACGACTCCGTGCTCAGACACAAAATGTGAGGAGAATAACAAAAGTCCAGCAGAGAGAGAGCGAATACACTGGTGCTGCTGCTGAGAAGAAAACGTCTCTAATGACTTGTTTGTTCCTTTGGAGGAGTCCATCAAAGTCTCGCTTTGAACCATCATTGTCTATAATGAGCCGAGTTTCATCACATGCAGACGCCGGCGAAAAAGAGCAGAGCGTTGGATAAACTGCTTCTCAGATTATAAAGCTGGATATGCTCCACAGATGGAGGTCCTGATTGTTGGACTTTAAGTTATCTGGAGCCGCAGGTAGACTAAAGTATAAGTTTATCTAGAAAGACAAACCCTCACGATGGATAGATTAACAATAAATACACTTAAAAATAGTCATGTGAAAAACTAAAATAAACAAACTCCTGATATGCAGTTATCATAGTTACCGTTTATATTGTTGTGTTTATAGTTAATCCTTTTAACTAGAAGTTTTTATTCTTTATTTTATTTTTGTTTGAATCATCCAATGGAAGAAGAGACGACATCCTGCTGTTGGTTTTATGTTATTCTGCTGACCAACAGTAGGTGGCGGTAAGAAGTAAAGAAGACTGAAGCTAGTAGGAATAGATAAATAATTAAATTTAAACAATATAAAAATAATTGATCTTGTAAAAGTTGTTGATAAAAAGACAATGAAGAAGAACTTAAAGTCAGGATGTCTTAGGTACAAACTTTCAGAGGGACTCACCTTCATTCTCCGCGACTCGATGCGGGACTTGTAGCAGAACTCAACCAGAGCCACGAGCATGGCCAAACCCAGACCTCCGATCAAGATGTAAAACACTCCCGCTACATTGCTCAGACTGAGCGCGCTCGTTTTGTCCTGTCAGCATAGAGAGGCGGGGTCAGGAACAGCTCAGAGAGATTGGCTGATGTTCATCACTAATGTTAGAAAACTGTTGACAATGAACTGGTGAAGCAAATCTCATCTTTCTAACTGAAACTTCTTAAACTGTCAAAGGCTGTGATAGAGAGGGAACATGAGACCTTTAAAGGAAGTCTGACCCAAAAAATCATCCCAAGTAATAATTCACTAAATTATGTTATGAATCCAATCTTCTTAAGTTTCAGTTGTTTAAACAGGAATTAAAATTCGGACGAGAAACGAGAGAAAACAGAAAACATTAATCAGCATGTGGAGGCCAGTTTGTAGAAGTCCCTTTATTCAAACTAAACGTTCATTATTTTTCTTCAGCATCATGCACAGTCCCACAGGGTGAGTTCATCTACGGCCTGAAACATGAAGCACATGCCAACGATTGGAAATTCCTTGTGTTTGGAAATTTGCCTCCAACTGTTACAGGAGGAGACCCAACACTTTTAAAGACAACTTCCTGTCTTTGCTAAGACTGTGGACTGTAAGTGACCAACTTAACTGTATCCGTCCATCCGTCAGGTCTTAGAAAACACCTTTAAAAGTAGCCAGAGATTTCCTTGAGTCCTTGGACGATAGGGAACACTGTGCAGCCTTTTTCTATCAACCTGTCGAAGGCCTTCAATACCGTTGACCATGTAACTATAAAGGATAGACTGCACACTATTGGACAGTCTGAACAATCTGTATGTTGGTTTGTAAATTATTTATCAAACAGTTCACAATGTGTGCAGATGGAAGGCATTACTTCCAGAGATGTCCAACCAAAAAATGGTGAGCCACAAGGCTCAATCTTGGGGCCACTGTTATTCGCACTTTATATTTACAGTATCTGTCCCAATTTTACCAATGCACATTTTAATTACATGCAGATGATACTGTTATTTATTGCTCTACTTCAGGTTGTTACCTATGCTGCAAACTGATAGGTGTGAAATTAAATACTAGTTAACTGGACCTGAGGCTCATTGGTATTCTCATCTCTTTAAGGTCATGTTGAACGTGATCGTTTAAAACAGGAGAATTAAGTGTTGCTTTTTAAAGTGGTACATTTTCTAATATTAATGAAAGAATCAAGACATGAGAATAAAGAATGGGGCTGGGGAAGGGGGACCAGTTTAATTTGGGAACTGGTATTTAAGGGTTTTCAAATAAGATATAAAAAGTTAAAATAAGTACAAATACATAGGTCAGGGCGTAGAGCTCCTGAAGGAGAGATACAAGTGAATGGGCACTCAGGGGTTCTTAGGCCCCGAGGCACTGGGGGGGTATGGGTTAGGAGGGTCAGGATCAAGGTCATGGTAGGACCTTGCTAAACTAGTGTGTCCCTTAAGTTTTAAAAGTGAATGAAGATAATCACAGCCTTTGACAGTTCATATGTAATTATTTGTTGCATGCAGTTTCATGCACCAACAGCGTAAACTAAACATTGAAAACAAAGATCACTAATGATGTTTGTCCAGTTACACGGAGAGAGACGACACCTTTCTCACAGCTCACTGTTTTATATTCAGAATAAATCAGAGAGGCTGACTTTTATCATTTAAGAATGTTACCTTTCTCATTTCATATCAAACTATCAGCTCTTAAAACAAATTAAATACTTCAAAATGAAATGTTCCATTTCAGTAAAACATTCGTTGCAAAAAGGGAAATTGATTGTTTGTGGAGTTTCTCATGAAATTCGTGGCGGTATGTTCTCCTGCCACATGCACTCTTGGTTTTGGTGGGCATGGCTTAGCGTTTCATCTAATTTCATGCAGCCCATTCAGAAACACCAACAGTAGGAAACAGTGGGCGTGGCTTCTCTGTTACACAGGAAGTGTTGTAAGGCGGAGGAGAGCCAATCAGAGGGCTTTCCTCTCCAAACTGTCATTAGCTGTTTTTTTTCTTTCAAACAGGACTGAAAGAAAACGAGTCCTTTTCACTTTCGGGCGTTTTATTTATTCGCCGTTAACGTTTAATTAAATAAATAAAAGAAGGTTAACATTACGCTGAATGGATGATTGAGGTTAGGGGTTGATCTCTCTTCAGGAAATCAAACTGAGTATTTCTCACAGTTTCATGATGAACTGATTAAAATCTGAACATGCTCATTAATTTCTGATCAAGCGTCTTAACGTGGTTTTTCGCCTCTTGGCCGTCACGCTCTGCTGCACAGATTTACAAACAGGAAGCACATGACAGATTGGAGACAAAAACATCCGAATGAGTGTGTGTGTGTGTCAGAGAGGGAGAGGAGGGGTGGGAAAGCTGTGGTCAGTAGTCTCAGATCTTTTAGTGATGCAGCCGTAAACAGAGAGAGGGGGGGAGAGAGAGAGAGAGAGAGACAGGGGGAGGGGGGAGAGAGAGAGGGGGGAGGGGGGAGAGAGAGACAGAGAGAGAGAGAGAGAGACAGAGAGAGAGACAGAGAGAGAGACAGAGACAGAGAGAGAGACAGAGAGAGAGACAGGGGGGAGGGGGAGAGAGAGAGAGGGGAGGGGAGAGAGAGACAGAGAGAGAGAGAGAGTGAGAGAGAGAGAGAGACAGAGAGAGAGAGAGAGACAGAGAGAGAGAGAGAGAGAGAGACAGAGAGAGAGACAGAGAGAGAGAGAGAGACAGAGAGAGAGAGAGAGAGAGACAGAGACAGAGAGAGAGTGAGAGAGAGAGACAGAGAGAGAGAGAGAGAGACAGAGAGAGAGAGACAGAGAGAGAGAGAGGGGGAGAGAGAGAGAGACAGAGAGAGAGAGGGGGAGAGAGAGAGAGAGACAGAAAGAGAGAGGGGGAGAGAGAGAGAGAGAGGGGGAGAGAGAGAGGGAGAGGAAACATGTCAGCAGTTTTGAAAATCTGACTTTTTACATCCAGAGCGTGTGAATAAAAGCTTGTCCTAATCTTAGCTCATGTTTCTGATGGAGAACAGTTTACTCTCTGGGTCAGGGTTCGTCTCTTTCACCACCAGTAGAACCTAAAATCATTCATGTGAATGTTTCAACGATGGGCAGTCAGCACTGCGATGTAAAAAGTCAAATTTTCAGTGATTTCTCTGTCCGTCTGTCTGCGGCTGCTTCCACCGGTGTGCTGACCATAGATTATTCTGGAGAACAGAAGGACGACTGAGCAGAGAAAAGCCTCTGAAGAAATCTTCTCATCTGGAGACATGAAAAGCCCTTATCTCCAAAAGGTCCGCTCTGTCACAATTGGCTGAAGCCCAGCTCATTTTCTCTTCAATTAGCATACATTGATCTGGAAGTTTGATGGGATTTAAACTTCAGAAAGTGAGTGATGAAATCATGGGCAGCTTCTTGGGTTGGAGTAATGAGGTTTTTCATGCCCTCAGAAAGAACAGGAGTGTGTTCATGTCGTCTCCATTTCTCCAGAACGGTCAGCTGAGCAGCATTACACTCTAAAAATATAAAGTTTTACAGAAACAAAAATAACTATCATCAAAACAGCAGATTATTTTTCACCATCAGGCACTGAACTGAAAACTGAATCTCATCATTTATGATCATTGTATATAACATTGTTTGATTGATTTTACAGTTTACCATGTGATTCCAGGAACAGAACATTAGACCAAAACCACCAACCAGCACATCTACAGCGTACATGTTGATATTTAATATCTGACCTGTTAATATTTCATATCTAACCTGTTAACATCTGTAAACGGCGTGTGAACGGCGTGTAAATGAGTTGTAAAGATGTGTGAACGGTCATTTTATAAATCAATCATTATTTTTAAAGCATCAATTCATCTTCAGGAGACGCTTTACTAAAGATCATATGCTGGAAGGATTTATCCTTTGTATTCCTCTCGTTCATGTTGTCCACATGTCCTCCCCGCTGAGGTCGGAGCAGGTCGTGCATGAACGAGGACGGCGGTGGTTGTGGGGACGACACAGTTTGATGTAAGTGGTTGGGCATCAGGCGGTGGTTCAGGGACAATATGGTCCGATGGTGGAAGCTGGGCATCGGGCAGTGTAAAAAAGTTGTAAAGATGTGTGACGGCGTGTGAACGACGGGTGAACGACATGTGAACAACGTGTGGCTGGCATGTGAATGGCATGTAAAGATGTGTGACGGCGTGTGAACAAGTTGTAAAGGCGTGTGAATGGTTTGTGAATGGCGTGTGAACAGCGTTTAAACAAGTTGTAAAGATTTGTAAACAGCGTTTAAAGATGTGTGAACGTCGTGTGAACAGCGTGTGAATGATGTGTGACGGCGTGTGAACAAGTTGTAAAGCTGAACTGACGTTCTGCACTACGATCTCAGGACGCTCCCTCAGAGCACGATCAATCGTGTTAGAGTCCGCTCTGGTTGAAAGTTTAAAGTCTGTCTGAGCACAGGTGACCACTCCCACCAGTGATGTCATAGTGTACTGACACACCTTTGGAATCACATTCAAGTTTAGTACCTGGTGGTTAAAAGAGCTTATGATGCATTTGACGATGACATGTTTGAGATTAAAATATGTTGTGATGTTCGTCTATGGTCAGACAGCACTACACACTTTGGAGCGAGAACCAAACCAAGAGGCAAAGCCCGAAGAAAGAAAGAGAGTAACATGGAGGAAAAGACGATTAAACGCAATCAAATTAAATCTCAACACAAGAATATTTCAATTAAGATGAAAACAAAGAAAACTTTTCTTTTCAGAGTGTAGCTGCTGAGGTTTTGTATCTGATGTGGGAAAAGTGGGCGGGGTGAACCAACACATGACCTCAGGAGCAGGCCAAGCGACCTCCAGAACTGACCTTTCTGCCGGAGTCCTTGTGTCCACACTCCCCCTTGTCATACCACCACCTGTTTTTCAACTTGTCTAAGACGGCTTGTTCATTGAGCTTCAGTACTGCTAGGTTTACTGGGATTCTTCACAAATCATGAGAGGAAGGAGGGGGGGGGGAAATAACATAAATAACATTATGCACCTCCATGTTATTTTATGTTATTGTTAAGCTGCACAGAAATGGGGCTGTAGTCGCTACGAAAGGCGCAGCAGCAGTGATTTGAGCACGGCTGACATTGGCAGTAAAGATGCTTTGATTAGCTACAGAGAAGAGCTCGACAACAACAGAAGAAGAACATGAACAGACAGAAAACAGGCACCATCACAGATAAACACTTTCAGAAAATGTCAAAGTGATATGCTTTAATACTCCATCTAGCTTGGTTAAGCCTGACTCCCTACGTGCGAGATGTGTATTACTATATCACTTTGGGTAACCGGCAAGGGCTGAAAACACTCCGGGTTTACTGAGTCTGAAGTTTTAAAGCTGTTCAGTATATCATCAGGGGTTTTTTGTGTAGGAGAAAACTTTTACATTTTGTGGTTATCTGTGAGCGAGGAGCTGACATCAGAGGCTAAACGACCAGAGGGGGTACATTAGAGAGCCATTTGGGTTTATATTAATCATATATGTTGGATTAACACGAGCTGTATACTTATTTCATAATATCTGCAGTTTACTTTAATAATAATCGTAAACCAAAGATAGTGACCCAGCTTCTTTACAAAGGATAAGAAAAACAGAAAGGCCCAGCCTTTAAAACAAACTAGTCTTTTCAAACACTATGTTATTTGTATTCAAGGCAAAAACATGTAGGACTTTAGTTTGGTGCGATTTGGTGCCCACTAAGGTCTCTGAATGCAACTGCACTGGGTTAAGACACACACAGTGCTGTTAGTTCCTCCCCCTCTTAGATAACCAACATCTGTTGACGATCAGAGGGCGCAGAAGCAACAAAGACGTCATGAGAAGCTAAAGAACCGGCTGACGAGGATCAGGAATATATCTAGCGTCTACAGCTCGTTGATAGCTAACTGCCAGAACAACCCCCCCACCCCCAACACCAGATTGTTGATGGACGGTCTGCCTCCCCCCACCCCCTTGCTCCCTATCCCTCTTCCTGCATCTTATCCCATCTCTCCCCCTATCCCTTTCCAACCCCGGCGCAGTCCAGACCTGTGAAGGCTGTTTCGTCATGAGCCGGGGATCCGGCTGAAGATCTCTGCCTTTTAATAAGAAAGTTTTTTCTTACCACTGTAACTTTTGCTGCTTTGCTAAAGTGCTCATGATGGATAGGCCGGATCTTTGTAACAATAAGTAAGGTATTTTACCTGCTTTTTGTAACATAACAATGAGTAAGGTCTTTTACCTGCTTTTTGTAACATAACAATGAGTAAGGTATTTTACCTGCTTTTTGTAACATAACAATGAGTAAGGTCTTTTTACCTGCTTTTTGTAAAGTGTCTCAAGATAACACTTGTTATGAGTTGACGCTATACAAATAAATTGAATTGAATTGAACTCTTAGCATGTGGAGTATGTGTTTGTGTATTCATCTGTAACCATGACGACTACAGGCCGGGGCTTAATGTCTACATTGGAGAGGCTCATTTATTACATTCTAGCTGAGATCAGTTTGTAAGGTTTCAAACTTAAAAAGCTAACTTGAAGATAGATGAGGAAAGAGACAACTTTTTGGTGTCAGATGGATTTATTGAATCATTTGTGTCAAACCTCAGACATTACTCGGGTTAGATGACTTTCTGCAGCCGCTAAAGCTGCTAAACATGAGACAACGATCTTCAGGGATTTACACTTGTTTCTCTCTCTCTCTCTATCTCTTGTTAGATTCAGCCATTGTATCAAACAGTACAGAGACGGGCTAACTGGCTGCTTTGTATCTGAAGGCTGCTGTGTGAACTAGTGCCGGAAAGACAAACGCACTTCTCACCAGATGGCCTTGGCCTGACGTTACATTTATGTTTCCCATACGACTCTCCCACCAAAACCCCAAAGGATGCAGTTGTGGCATCTCTTTGTTTTAACATTCAAAAAACCCTTAAGCTAATTTTCTGCTACAGTTGATGTTTCTCTTTGTTTAAAATATGATCGTGAAACACATCCCGACTCTGAAATCTGATATATGTTTCATTGGACATATCTGCAGAATATGCTGCTGTTTTCTTTTTTCAAACGGGAAGATCTCTGTAATGAAGGTTGGCCCTACTTTCTGTTTTAGTTGATAAAATACCCCCTCGGTCCAAAGAATCTGGTCTGTTCTTCAAAAAGGCCTCAGAAAGGTAACTATGGGGATTGAAGCGCCTCCTAGTCCAAAGGAGAAACTTTATAGTCTAATAGAAGGTTCCAGTATATATTCAGATGGGGCCATCCGGAGTGTTTTACGATTGCTTTAAAGGTTGGGAGTTGTTGCCAGTTACCCGGTGGTACCATTGCCTGTCGTTACCCGCTGGGGTTACGGTGATCTGACCTTGGAGTCCCCTCCCCCGATGCCGCACTCTCCCTTGTCATACCACCATCTGTTTTTCAATTTGTCCAACAGGCCCTGCTCGTTCAGTTTTAATACGGCCAAGTTAACAGGGTTTCTACGGGGATGATAGTGATAGGGGATAGAAGGGAACTTGGTGTTAATGAGAAGACGACCAAACACTTACATGTGTCTACATACGACGGGCATGTTATTATTAGTGTAGGATTTAATGGCTCTATACTGTTGTGCAACCCAGACCTCATCAAAATGTTGTTTCCCAACCTTCAAAGTCGTGTGTCCACATGGTTATTTTGTGAAAGACTGAGCTGAGCTTTTTTTAAGATTTATTTTTGGGCTTTTTGTGCCTTTAATTCAGAGAGAGGACAGTGGATAGGGTCGGAAATCAGGGAGAGAGAGAGTGGGGAATGACATGCAGGAAAGGAGCCATAGGCTGGATTCTAACCTGGGCTGCCCGCTTGGCAAACTATAGCCTCCATACATGGGGCGCGCACTAACCACTGCGCCACCAGTGCCCCGAGTTTTTTTTTTATGACAGAATCATTCAGTGCTTCAAGTTTTCAGTTCTATGGGGGACTATAAACCAGGCTTCTTAGCATCTTTTAAAAGGTTGATTATGTGAAAGAGGGTCTAACTGTGACCTGCAGGCTTCCTCATTTCTAAAGAGAGTCCATTTGTTGTATTCATCATTGAAGAAGACATTTTTCATAACATCAATAATACCCTTTCTGAATTATAGAGTATATCAGCGGCCTCAGGCAGAGCACTTTGGTTGTACTTTGTGATTGGCGTCATCATCTCTCTTCAACGTAGACCCTTGTGGCTTTCATTTAGGCTTTGCAGCTTTACCTGTATTGGCTTCAATATTCACTCTTGTTCTTGCAGAAGAGTCACTGCTGCTGCTAGAAAACAAAGTCTGATCCACCAAATCCACCAAAGTGTGATCTACCATCCTGCCTCTTATCAAAAACAAGTCATCCTTATCTTCACACTTTGACTGAAAGCCAAATTTATAATGAAGAATTTCTCTCTGCCCGTTAGATGGTGCTGCTTTAAGGCATGCTCTCTTTGGTTTGGTTGAGAAGTTGTCATTGAGCTCGAACATAAATCTTTACAGCTTTAAAATGTGATCTTGTTTTTGACCAATTAAAGACAAAGGATGTGAGGAATAACTGAAAGGAGGTTAGTTCAGTCGCCCTGACTAATTAAGACTTTGTTGATTTGAGAGGAAGTTCAAAATGATCCAATGTTTCATCACAAACCGTTTGACAGAATTTCTCTTTGAATTTCTTCTTTAGTATTTTTCTGGCAATGCAAACTTGGAGGACAGGGACTAGTTAAAGTTGGGTTAATGTGAGGAGATTTCTGACTGATCTAAGATTTTAGGGGATAATTGAGGAGGAGAGAATTGAGGGCCAGTACATCATGGGAACTTTTTCTCATGACTTCGATGTTTGAATTGTTTCACTAGCTTGTTTAAAGTCCATTGATCAGCTGTGATTTGGTCAAGTGATGGTAAAACAAGATCTTAATATGGTCTGGGTTGAAAAACAACAAATATATCCGATTACTGATGACAGCAAACCTTTACTTGCATTTATTTACATTTTTCCGCTGATGCATAAATCAGGAACAACAGTGAAATGTTTGGGCATAAAGACCGATTGGAATGTGCAGGTAATAACTTCAGGTGTAATAAAGGTAAGCGAAGGTAAAACTGTCTTTTACACAGGTGTTCAAAGGTTGTCAGTTTGCTTACACTAATGCCCTCCAGTTTCTTGTTGCTCCTCTTTATGTACCAGTGCAGACCAAAGCTCAAGAACTACAGAAGTGAAAGTCATGGGTGAAGAAACGTGGATCATTAAATGTGATGATAGCAGATGAGAGTTTTGTTCCTTAGTGCATTGTGTAGATTTTAAGTACTTTGAATAACAGTTTCGTGTAAAACTTGAAATCCACATGAAATATGCACAAAAAATCTTGTGCATCGAAGTTCCTTAAGAAGTTTTCAAGAAAACTGACCAATGTCACATTGGAAACAAACTAAATTTCTTGATGTGTGGTTAACCTTTGTTCAGAGTGACGTCTTTCTTTTCTCACTATTATCTTAGCCAGGTAATCCGAAGTCATAAGATATTCTTGTTTTTAACCAAGTATTCGTGTAGGCATGATGGTGTTCTCCTGTCTGTTTGGAGCATGGGCTGTTAATAGTCTCAAAAATTAACACGACTTAGACGCAAGCTGCAGTATCGACATGAACAGTGGGGGGCAGTGTAGTGTCAGAGGGGATGTGTCAGAGTGAAGACAGCAGCATGAACAACCATGTCAGAAAGTTCTGGGTGGTTTCACAATAGAAAACAGACATGTGAAAATGTCCGTAAAGGTGAACCATGGAGTTTTGGTAGAGAAATGTACAGATTCTGTGGTAGATGTTCATAACTCTATACACAAACTGTCCTCAGAGGAACATGTGGTCCCTGTAAGTGTTGAGCCTGCAGCAGTGAAAAACTCTCCAGGTAGATTTAAAGGTCCCATATTATGCTAGTTTTATATACTCTTTAGTGTGTTTTCCAAGTGTCCTGTGCATGTTTAGGCACATCTATGTGCAAAAATTCAAAGTCCGCGGAAACCCGGCTTCTCCTACGTCCTCCTGTTAGCTGTAGCATTAGCTGCACGTAACGCTCGGTTCTAGCCCCCCGCGATAAAAAATTGTCAGTGCGGCGTCATTGTCAGTGTGAGATCACTGATCTAAGCCCATTGGCTCGTCGTGGCAAGCCCTGCAGCTCATTTTGAAATTTCCGAGAAGCGTGTTGAGCAACTGACCAATAACAACAGAGCGGATCTGCAGACCAATCAGAGCAGACTTGGCCCACGTGGGGTCTAACAGTGGGGGCTCAGCAGAGCGTAGCTGACGGACTCAGAGCGGAGAGGGAGCAAGGAGGAGCAGTTCATGAAAACAGACACTTTTTTTTAACTTTTGCTATTGTGAACGTGAACGTTCCTACCAAAAGTAGGTACATAGATTAAATGTACAAACTCCAAAAAGGGCATAATATGGGCTCTTTAAGCTCTAAACAGTGATCAGGGAGACATTTTATCCTTTAAATAAAGTTTGTGTATTCAGTTAAGAAAATATAGCATTGAACTGTTACACAACCAAATCTACACAATGCACCTTTAATGTGATAAACTGAGTCTGTAATGATCCACATGTATACGATGAGTCATTGAGCCTCATTCACCAATATCTTCTTTAAAAGATTTCTAAGAAGACTCTCCGTCAGATTCACCAACGTATTCTTCTGGTATTTATTCTAATTGTAGCACTTTTAAATTTTAAATGTAAAGTGCGTTATAAATAAAATGTATTATTATTATTCTACAGAGTGAGGGCTGCTGCTTTTATTCATTTCTTTATCTTAACATTAACAGATACTAACCTCCACAAGCTTTGACATGTCGGAAACTCCCTGATGTGTGTGATGTAAGCTATGAACAGCCGGAGCTCTCTGGTGGGCCCTCTAGTGGTATCCTCCAGTAACACATGTAGTGCATGGACAAGTGACAAATACGCTCATAATGCTGCAGGTTGTGCATGCATTATTAAGGTTAAAAATCAAGGAGATCTCAGTAATAAAAGGCAATTAGCTGTTACAGTGGACAATAAATGGATTGAAATATTTGTTAACCTCACATGGATCAAAGTTTCAGTCAGAATTTCTTATTGATATCCCTATGTATCAGTGGATAAATCGGATTGGTCACAATGCCACTTTGGAACAAAACCCTCCAAATGTTCCACATAGAACAGAAGCACATTCATCTGTAGTCTTGGCAGCAGTGTTTCTTCTACTGTAGCAGATGTTTGTTAGAGTAGTTCATCAGTGAAATGAGCTCAGGAAACCGTCAGAGCCGCCCCAACCCAGAGTCCGCAGTCTGCTCAGAGAGGATTCAATGTGTGCAGTTTTTTAACATGATTATCCAGTTTGGTTTGTATTTAAGTGGTTTGGAACAACTGTGTTGCTAGGCAACTGATGTTGAATACTGACACCTTGTTTTTCTGTCTTTCCAATAATGGAGAATGATTTTGTTCTGTCTGCATGTGACGCTCCGTGCATAGAGAAAACAGCAGACGCAGAAGGTGAGTCACTCCCATTGGTCTGTTTTCTTTTTTTAAATGTCATTATGAAAACAATTATGAACTGTGGAGCAAAATCCTTCAATTATTACCTTTAAATGTTTTCCCTCAAATGCAAATATGAAGTCATTTTGTTTGTGTCTTTGTGGAACACACTAAGTTTCCCATGAATTAACCTTGTTACAGAGAAGAACATACGAGTCACCACATTCAACATGTTCAAATCTCATTTTTGGAGCATCTCCTCTTTCTCGGACTCTGGGTTGGCTGAAAAATGCTGATGTGAAGCAGAAAGAACCAAATGTTCCCTCACAGAACATCTGATAATAAAAAGGACAATCTTCAAGATGTCTGAAACAAAGAAATCCAACATCAGGGCTTTCAAATGCTGCTGTCAGGTCAAAAAAAATCTCACAATCTTCACGTTTTTACATCATGCTGACGTTTTAACCTCAACACTCTCTTATTGGTCTTCATTGTCCGTTTCTATGTGGTCAGTAAAACATGGACTTTTGTTAGGGTTACACCTGCAGAGTATTTTTTATCTGACAGCAGCAATAACCATGAAAGATTCATCACTGACCAGATGGATGATGGCTGTATGGATGTATGATGTATGATGTATGATGGATGGACATATCAATGGATGGATGGTCAGGCACCATCTTATCTTAATGAGCTAATAGTTCCGTACTACCCTTCGAGAACATTACGCTCCCAGAATGCAGGCCTGCTAGTGGTACCTACAGTCTCTAAATGTACTATGGGAGGTAGAGCCTTCAGTTATCAGGCCTGCTCGTGGTACAGTCTCTAAATGTACTAGGGGAGGTAGAGCCTTCAGTTATCAGGCCTGCTCGTGGTACAGTCTCTAAATGTACTAGGGGAGGTAGAGCCTTCAGTTATCAGGCCTGCTCGTGGTACAGTCTCTAAATGTACTAAGGGAGGTAGAGCCTTCAGTTATCAGGCCTGCTTGTGGTACAGTCTCTAAATGTACTATGGGAGGTAGAGCCTTCAGTTATCAGGCCTGCTCGTGGTACAGTCTCTAAATGTACTATGGGAGGTAGAGCCTTCAGTTATCAGGCTCCTCTCCTCTGGAATCATCTTCCAGCAGGGGTACGGAAGGCAGACACTCTGTATTTTTAAGAATACACTGCCCTTTTTGATAAATCTTATAGTTAGTGCTGGTGTAGACCGGCTCCTAATTATATTGCTATAGGCTTAGACTACCGGAGGAACTGGCACCCTGAGCTCTTATCTCTCTCTCTCTCTCTCTCTCTCTCTATATATATATATATATATATATATATATATATATATATATATCACATATTTTCCTGGTAGGGTTAGGGTTAACCCTATTTCTTTTCAAAGATTAATTTTTGGGCTTTTTGGGCCTTTAATGGAGAGACAGGACAGTGAACAGAGCTGGAAATCAGGGAGAGAGAGTAGGGAACGACGTGGGAAAGGAGCCACAGGCTAGATTCAAACCTGGGCCGCTTGCCATGAGGACTACAGCCTCCATACATGGGGCGCGCGCCACCTACCTCTATACCACTAGCCCCCCAATCCCCTTTTCAAGCCCGGCGCAGTCTAGGCCTGTGAAGGCTGTTTCGTCATGAAGATCTCTGCCTTTTAATAAGGCAGTATTTCTTACCACTGTAACTTTTGCTGCTTTGCTAAAGTGCTCATGATGGATAGGCCGGATCTTTGTAATATAACAATGAGTAAGGTCTTTTACCTGCTTTTTGTAGAGTGTCTCCAGATAACACTTGTTATTAGTTGACGCTATACAAATAAAGATTGATGGATGGATGGATGGATGGATGGATGGATGAATGGATGGATGGATGGATGGATAGACGTCGGTATTCTGGCAGACAGACAGGCAGGTTGGCAATCAGACAGGCATAACAGATTACATGACAACAGACAGACAGACAGACAGACAGACAGACAGACAGACAGACAGACAGACAGACAGACAGACAATAACAAAGACAAAAGAGAGAGAGAGACAAGACAGACAGAGAGACAGATTAAGGGACTGACAGCCAAACAGACAGACAGACAGACAGACAGACAGACAGACAGACAGACAGACATGTCAGGAAAGTCTCAAAATAAATCAGAGTTTAACTAGTTCTTATGTTTTCATGAGTACAGATGTTTTTAATCTATAAAGTTGTACCCTCTAAATAATACAAAGACAAACACACCAGACGTAAGTTGTCTTACAAAGGTTTCTGAAGGTTAATAAATTATGTTTAATTCATTCATGTGTTAATAGCTGTAACGCACTGTGTTCAGAGTGGTTCTGCTTACAGATGTTTCACAGTCGATTTACCCACTTTTAAAATGAGACATGTCTGAAGTTAAGAAACACTCCATAAACAGTCAAAACTGAAGAGAGTTTATTTCACACAGCTACATACAGGATCACTGCATCTGCAGGTAAATACTACAATTTGGTCTGCAGAGTGTGGCTAACATTAGCAGTGTTAGCACCTCCAGCCTTAAATCCTCCCTGCAGGTTGATGTCCACATGTCTGTGCTGAACGTGGTTACTCATCATTCTCTGTATATGGACTCTATATAAATGTATATATACAGTATATATCCTGCACATAACTTAATCTCCACTTTCTAGATCAACGTCCTGACAAAGCGCTCCGTGATACGAGACACGATCTGTATTTGTTCCTGCTGGTTTATATCCAGTAGAGTGAGGAGAGCCGGCCAATTAACTGGAGCTACAGCCCCCACTAATGGTGCACAGCTGTATTACAGGTCACACCAACATTTGACCAGCATTGAGGTCATATAAATATATTAATATTCAGTTTAACAGAGAAATAATTCTGGTGCTAGTTAACGTGGATGACGACTAATCACGTCATATGCTGAGTACTGCTGTATTTGAAGTATTCCATTCTGTGTTTTAGTGTAAAGTAAATATTCTTTTTCCAATATTTAGGGTGACAACATTCTTTAACTCCAAATGGCGGATTTTTGATTCCAGATAAATGCATCAGGTGTCTCTTCTATAGTGGAGTCACCATAGTATCAAACATTTTCACTGAGAGATGCAGACTCAGTAAATGATGATTTCCAATATATTTACATTTATTTTGTGAAATAAGAAAACATCTTCAAAGTAGATCATGTGTGAATCTGTGGTATTTATTTCCTTAAACTTTATAAAAGTGCATCACACCATCTACTGTCCTGGAGTGTGTATAAAAAAGCATTAGATCATCCAGATAGCCAACAAACTCTAGAGAAAAATTACTTTCGTGTTTGTCTGATTATGTAATTTCTCACAAAAACAGATAAAACAGGACACGAACATTGACCCCACACTGACGGCCCCCCAGCCCGGACATTCAGAGTGTACCTGAGAGGTGATCCTTTGGGCGTGGCCACTCCGTAACCTTTAGAGTCCAGGTTACCTCCCACTTTCATGGTGTCGCAGGGCTTCCTCTGCTCGATGTACTCGTTCATGGAGGACTCCAGCAGGTAGGCATACTTCCCCTTTGACTTCCTGACTCTAATCACACCCTCATTAGTGTTTTTGACGAACACTGTGGGGTCTGCGCTCCGCATGTAGGACCACATCTTCTCAAAAACTGCTATCTTTGATCGCTGACATAGGAGTAGATAGTGAAGACAACAAAATATGTTTATGACATGAAGGTCTTCCTTTAACTCTACCGGCAATTTTGGATGGTTTAAAGGTTTTCAATATCTAAACCGTAAAATAGCCACGCTGCATAAAAATATAGAGACAAATCTTTAAAAAGATCTCCAATACAGAAAGAGCATAAATTCAAGTTTTATTATAAAAGTTTATTGGCTGATAGAGATCAACAGTGGAGCCATTAAACCATCGTAAAGGAAGTGGACACAAGACTTCCTGTCTGCATTTCTATATTCCAGAATGAAAATATAATTTAACATCAATGATGGATTTTGATTTAATGTCAGTCAATCACTCATTATTTGTGTAAAAAATGTCTTAAAACAAAACTTGAACTCCTTGAACCATCTTATTTGATCATTTCTGTCTCTAGGAACTTTTAACATGAAAAATGTGTAGAGAATGATGATTGGATAAAACAACAGGGAGAACTCACCTTGAAGAACTCTTTGGTGGAGCCTCCGTCCAGGGTACCGTAGGCGATCTCCGTCTGCTTGGCCAAGTCCTCTGAACCCTCTATAGGGGAAACCATCCTCTCCACGGTGAGGAAGGCTGCCAGGTTGGCTGTGTAAGAGGAGATGATGATGAGGGTGAAAAACCACCAAACTCCTCCAACGATTCGACCTGATAGTGACCTGGAGAAAACAAGGAGAAGAATGGTAAAGATTATTGACCCTGTATGGTCTCATCACAGTCCATCTGTTGGCTACTTAAGAAGCTCCAAAAAACAGCTGGTCATTAAGATTTACAACATGTAGCCAGTAGCCTTTTTCTTTAATGTTGAGGCTTTCCTTCAACAAAGAATCTTTTTCCACCTCGTTTGCTGCCACATTTTGTGAGAACTGATTGGAGGAGGAGTAGATCCTACTCCTTGTGGATTTTTTAGTGATGATGTGAAGTTATGTTTGTGATGAAATCGAACAAGTCAGTGTGTGAGGTTGGCTGATCTGCAGACAATAATATGTTGACTGTTTTTCTATATTTGCTACAGTAGGTGTGATAGCTGAGGCTGAATAAGGAAGCCTGCAGGGACGCAGCAAACACCAACGTCTATACCTCCAATCAGCATCAAATACATCGACACATTCACACTCGGAGAGCGTTCAGCCCTGCAGGCATGACCAGTCAGTCTAAAGGTGACCCTGTGTGCTACACACACACACACACAAACACACACACACACACACACACACACACACACAACACACACACACACACACACACACACACACACACACACACACACACACACACACACACACACACACACACACACACACACACACACACACACACACACACACACACACACACACACCACTTACGACATCACTGATACTACATCCATGTTATTATACCATCAATGGTCTTGAGCTTAACCACAGTAATGATTTCATTGATGTAACTTTTTTCATTTTTAAAGAAATTTGACACCAGCTACCGTCTAAAATAGTAACAACTCATCCCTCATAGATTAGGAGGAGGTGCAGCTTATGACCTATACTGCAGCCAGTAGATTCATAAGTTTAAAGGTCACAAAATCCTCTTCCCCATGTTCCTCTAACTCTAACATGTGTCTCTAGTCTACAAACCCCCCAATGATGAAAAGTCCATCCTCTCCGTCTTCTGCCTGCTCCACTTTTCAGAAAATGTGTGCTCAAACAGACCGTTTGGAGATTTCCCCTTCATGACATCACAAAGGGCAGTAGCCCCTCCCCCAGGTGGGTTTGTGTTACACTGGTTGAAGAGGAAGAGAATATGTGACCTTTAATGTATATAATATAATAATAATTTATTTAAGGTGACATCTGACTGGGACATTGTTTTAATGAGGCTGAGAGAAAAGACATCAACACACATCCTGTGACACACACACGATCAAACACACACACACACACACACACACACACACACACACACACACACACA